TTGTTAATGTGAGTCCAGCTTTTAGCCCAGAAATCTTCTCATTCTCAGTCATTTGGGTCATTAAGGAAAACTGAACTTTCTATCAGCACTTCCTGTTTGTAAGCTAACAGTGGGCGAGCAGTCAGCCACCACGAGGACGTTCTGAACAGGTTTAAAGCTTCATTATCTTTGTTCTGCTGCATGTGGATTACAGACCTGATCAGAACAGTGATTTGAACGCTCTCATGCTGCCCGCACGAGGAGATTCCACATATTTCTCGTTTCACAGAAAAGAGAGCCGATCAGTCTGCATCAAAATAAAATTCAGAGCTGATTGTTTTTGCAAACTTACACAGTTCCTGATGTGATGACTCTCTCCAGTTCACCTACATTACCTTAGTTAAGCTAACAGCCGTCGCTTCAATCCGAGTTCAGAAAAATGAAAACTTAATGAATCTGGACTCTAGAAAGGAAATAAATGAATAAGAATTAGTGACGTTGTGTGTTTTGTTGCTTTGTTCAGCTTCAAACAGAATTTCATGTTAGCTTAGCATTTCAGCTATAAAACAGATCTGACAGTTTAACTTTCCATCTGGGCAGCTGTTTGTTTGAAGGCATGCGACGCTAACCCTTAAACTCAAAACTCTTCAGTCCAACATCAGCTCAGTTTTTAAAACAAGAAATATTTTTAAATGATCACTTTTTGTTATTTTCTATCAAATATAGCTTTAAGTTATGTTTGATGTCTGGATTAAATATCAAAGAATCTGATGAACTTGCATCAAAGTGGTCCCTGTTTTTTGTTTTTTAAATATATTAAAGTACAAACACTGCCCCTCAGAAGGCTTCCTTATTTTGGCCAGTCAGATAAAAATTGAGCTTTTCGAGAGGCGGGGCTTAGAGTCCGGAGCTGAAGCAGTTTGTCTGACAGAGGTCAGCATCACATAAACATGAAGAGTGATTAACAAATTTATATCTGACGCCACAGAGGCCCTAAATTTAAACAAAATGACCAAAATCATTTTAGATTTTTCTGTAATGTTAATTCACCAGTAAGTGTAAAAACTTTAACATTGATTTTTTAATGCTAAAATGTAATTATTGTTGTTGTTGAATTTTCTAATTTACTGTTTTCACAAAAATGCTGAAAAAAAGGTGAAGTTGTTTTTAATTAAGTTGTTTCTAAAAAATGTGTGTTCCCTTGTTTTTATGACCGGTTGTCTAATAAATTTGTTAAGGGCTGTATTTTTTTTTTAAACTGAATCATAAAAAGCTTTTCTGACCTGGGATAAAAACACTGAGCTGGAAAATGAACTAAATAAATCAGTCAGAGATCTGCAGTCAGGCTACGACTGCTCAGGTACGTCTGCGGCAGGTAAATAATATTTGAGATTCAGGTTTTCATGAACTGTGTGATAACTCTAGCCAATCAGAGACTGCGGCTCGTTCAGGCTGATTCAGAGAAAACCTGGTGTGTAAAAACCAACACGATATTTTCACTTCATAAATATTAATAAACTGACATGCTTGTACAAAAAATAAATATACACGTAACATCTCCATGAAACCAATCCAGTTCTTCATCTCGTCAGGTGGTTGCCAGGCAACATATAGGGTTGTTTTGACTGTTCTGTCTGCAGCGAGCAACTGTTCACCGTTACGTCGCCGTTTTCAAAGACGGGGAGCAATGAACCCATTTATCTGCTAATTACAGCAACTTCCCATCACGTGGGTTCAAACATCAACAACATGTCGCGTGGGTCAAGTACATGGATTTGGTTTTTGAAAAATGACCTGAAATATGTGAACAACACATTTTTAACGACAAGAGGATGAAATCAACAGTCACATCACATCAGGACGGAAGACAATAAAGTGCATAAAACCACAAAAAAAACAGTCATCTGATAAAAACCTACATGTTTTATACATTGTATAAATAAAGTTTTTTCTGTGCATGCAGTTAGTGAAGATTCTGGCGTTTCTTCGTGTTTTCCTTCCCTGACTCCATCTTCATCTGTCTGCGGAGGCTTCAGGCTTTTGTGATCTGGTAGGTGATCAGGTACTCGGGGTAGGCCTGTGGGCGGCAGAGAGGCGTTCACTGACACTCTGTAACAGACACTCAACCTTCCCCAGTTACACAGAACTAAAAACTGATTCTTTCATTTACATTTTTTTCTACAATCACTTTGAGCTGGTGTATATGAAACGTGCTATTCATAAAAGGTTTCATGACGAATTCACACTCACAGAAACTCTGCAGCTGTTCATCACCAACTCCATTTATATTCACAGAAAGCTTTGAAACCTTTTCATGCACACGAGGCTGATGAAAACAGATTTCTCTTGAAACAACACCGAGTTAACCCCCCCAAACTAGCTCTGAGCTCAGTTCGTTCTCACTCAGTTTGTTGTGAGGAGCTGCTGGTCGGCCTGGAACTGAATTGAAACTCAAAACAATGAGAGATGTTTCAACGCGAGCCCACAGGCACCTCTCTGCTTGTTTGCATTTGCAGGAAGACGACAGTAAATGTGACACTCTGACACTTTAACGTCCCCACTTCCTTCTCATCCTCTCAGGCTGCTGCTTTCAGCACTAAAGCAGACCTCTGCATGTAATGCGACACACTTGTAATGTGGCTGATTACTCGAGTGGACATGTATTCATGCCGCTTTGTGAAGTGCCACTTCTGAGAAGATATTGGTTTTGGCACAAGACATTAGAAAATGTCCAATTGTCTGAGCACGAGCCGCTCTCTTCACTTATTCAACGACTATCTGTCATCTGGCTGTTTGTGTAGGAGACGCGTCCGCCCTTCAGAGGAAAGCTGAAGCCAACACGGCCGTGCTGCAGATTTAAACAAAGCTCCACAGAGATCGGTATTTAGCACGCTCGAGTTTTTGTGTTAAACCTTTAATAAAATTCATGATTATTTCTTCAAAACTCTTAATTAACCCAAAATATTTGATGTTTCTAAGACTCCAAACCACAGACTTTATCCAAAAATAAAGTTCTAAGGATGACGAGGTGTTTCTGACCTGCTCTCCTCTGTAGATGACGTACTCGGCCAGAGCGAGGCCGTTAACGCTCGGCCTGCCGGTGACGGAGTGGTGACCCGGCGGCGAATGAGCCATCTTCATGGCGCTGAACTGCAGGAAGGATTTACCCAGAATCACCCTGCAGAACAACAGGTGCCTGTGAGGAACAAAGAAGCGTGAGAGTGGTGCTCCACTGTAGTCTGAGCACAGGTGTGTTTGGGGGTGGAGGGTGGAGGTCAGGTGGTGTACCTGTGGCAGACATAGCAGGAGCGGTCTTTGTGGAGCGGACAGCCCGTCCCTCCTCCGATGCCGTAGACGTACTGGTTACTCTTTGACGAGTTCTCTGCAAAGTAAATCCCGGCGCCGAACATCCCCCCGATGTACGCGTGGCGTTCATCGAAGCCTTTGTGGATGATGGCGTTGACAAACGGCGAGCCTGAGAGGAAATCGATGCAGTACGATCAACGCCCACGTTAACATTACTGTTTCATGTCATGATTCGTATGATTCACGCTTCTGTCCCAACAAGTCTCTACTTCACTATCTACCTGTGAGAGGTGACCAACAAAGCTCTGAGCACATCTGCACAGATCCCAGGACAGCTGCCATTTTTACATCTGTCCCTGAACGTCTCATGTCCTCTAAAGCCTCGAGAGGGCAAACAGCTGCAGACCTGACGGCTGAGTTTTCAGTCCTGTCGTACTTCTTTATAATCCGCTTCACAGCCATGTTGGGCGCATGTGTGGTTGGAGATGAGTCCACGTGGTCACATGAAGCAGGCAGGCATGCAGACGTGCACGGACCGTCACTCAGAACGCGGCAGACTCGTGAAAATGAACTCCAGGCCTCGCACTGCGAGATCACCCCGATCACAGACAACTCTATGACTTTGACCTGAATTTGTGTTTGTTGGATCGTCGCCGGCGATGAGAGCTGGGTGTCCGTCTACAGTCCACCGTTCACAGGCAAACATCAGAGCAGAAGACATAGCAGATGCCAACTCATGCTGGCTTTGAGTTTTTGAGCCACACCAACACATCTTCACTTGTGACACTTCCTGAAAATCAAAATCGTGTTGAAGCATCAGTGTTTCGACACACCCGAGGAGGTTTAGAGGAGAAGGGGAAACAGCCGCACTTCCACCGAGGGATCTAAGAATGGCAGCTGTGCTGAAAACCAGCGATGTACGTGGCCAAGTTTAAATCATGCAAGTCTTCCCCCACTGCTCTACACTGGTACACCTGATATTATAGAGGTTAGATCTGTTGACTGTTCTCCTGCTACCATCACAACACTTCTGCTGCTTGTTCCTATATCATGATCTTTGGTGTTCTGACCGTGAAACAGCATGCGCTCATTGGAGTGGTTGTGGTTTTCCTCAGACACTTCCTTCCTGCGGTGGCTGTACCTCTCCCACAGCTTCTTGTTGCAGACCTTCTGGATCTGAAACACAATCAGCTGAGAGTCAACACAGTGACCTCCTCTAACCTCTGACCCCACCACCATCGTGCCCAACAGATGTTCATGTGAGAATAACAACGTCCCGTGGAGCTGGGTCACAACGTCCTGCATCTTAGCACCAAGTCTGTGATGGCGGCCGTGTGTAAGACCTGCATTCTCATCTAAACCAAACAAAACAGAACTCGTACGATGAAAATGATCCCCTGTCATGTGCTACACGTGAGAGAGGGCGGCTTCAGATTCTTCATCTATGAAAGCAAATCAGCCCGCAGCTCAGAACATGACCCAGCAGCAGCAAAGACGCAGCCCTCCAAGTCTTCGCAGCGAGTTACCTTGACCAGGTTGTATCTGTTGAAGACTCCTCCAGCGTGGCCGCCGTCTCGGTGCTCTCTGATGGTGCTCTGC